GCCTTGTAGATCATTTCTGTGTATATAAATATTTATCTTTTCCTTAAAATGGGATCATATTTGTTAAATTGTTTTGTAACCTGATTTGTTTAGTGCATAATGTAGCATGAATATTTTCCTATGTCATTAAGGAAAGATAATAATAACAACAAAGATAGAGTTTACTACATGCTAGACAACCCATCCTATCTTCAAAACATGCTGTATGTTGGGTAGTAATACTACTCCCATTTTGTAAATTGAAAAACTGAAGCACAGAGAGGTGAGTTAACTTGCCTGAGGTAACACAGCTAGTAAGTGACAGAGCTACGTTTTGAACCTAGATAGTCTAGCTCTAGAGGCCGTGCTCTGGACCACAGAGCTCTGACCCATGCCATCATTTTCATGGCTATAGTAGATGGTAATTTATTTAACCCTTCCCTTCTTTCTGGGACGTTAGATCCACTGTTATACACAAAGCAGCAATGAACACTTCGTTCAAACATTCATCTTTGTACACATGTTCAATTACTGCTTTAGGCTGAATTCCCATGAATAGAATTGCTGAGTCAAAAAGTTTACACATTTTTTAAAGTTTGGATACATATTAGTCAACATTTTTAAGCAATTTATTTTCTAAGCCTCTTTGACCTTTATAATTCATTGTTCCTTTCGAATAATGTATCACTGTCCATTTGGGTTCAATGATAGTTTTTTCCTTAGAACATGGAGCTTCTTCTGTTCTACTTCCTCCTCCGTCCTTCTGCCTTATACCCACCTCTAAAATGTTTAACAAAATAATACCCTTCCCCAAAGCATAATGCCTTTTGTTGTCAGCACTTCCTGTATCTTGTATCTCCTGGACTTTAACTATTAGATGGGGTTTGTGTATTAGTGGAATACAGTCCCACCATTTGACTTGATGTCAGTTTTTAAAAAAATTTTACTTTAGATTGGAGTATAGTTGATTTACAGTGTTGTGTTAGTTTCGGGTGTACAGCAAAGTGATTTAGTTATACATATACGTATATCTATTCTTTTCCAGATTCTTCTCCCATATAGTTTATTACAAAGTATTGAGTACAGTTCCCTGTGCTATACAGTAGGTCCTTGTTGTTTATCTATTTTATATACAGTAGTGTGTATATGTTAATCCCAGCCTCCTAATTTATCCCCCCCCCGAACTTTCCCCTTTGGTAACGCTAAGTTTGTTTTATAAGTCTATGAGTATGTTTCTGTTTTGTAAATAAGCTCACTTGTATCATTTTATTAGATTCCACATATAAGTGGTATCATATGATATTTATCATCGCCTGCCTCATACAACTGATTTTCTTTCTTTTCTCTATTTTATTTTTTTCTTCCGAGCGTCACAAGAATTACAGTAACAAATCTGTTATATAACTTTTTTCCTGATGTTAGTCTGTAAAGTAGGATGGAATGCCTGGTAAGGATGACAGTGTGTCAGAGGCTGGAGGGCAGAACTCCCTGCTCTGATCCCACCTCTGCCTCCCGCTTGTTTTATGACCTTGAGAAAGCCACTTCATCATTTTCATTTCATGTTCCTCATTTGCTAAATGAGGAAGGTGAACTAAATGATCTAGAAAACCTATTCCAGGTTAAAAAAAAAATACGGTGTCAGGCTATCCAAGAGTAAAGCAGATTTTTAAAAAATATTGTGTGAAACTGGGACAAATGTGATGTTGGCGGGGCCATGTTGGACGCGGCTAAAGGTTCGTGTCAACATAATAAAAATGTTTTGTGCCTTGTCTCTTGGCCAAGGCCTCCTGACAGTCTGCTTTAGTGGCTCGTGAAACAAATCCCTAAGACCAAGGTAGTTATAGTTGTTCCACTGAAGCGTGACAAATGGCCTCTCACTTTGAATGCGTTTATGAGAAAGGAAAACCTTCCATGACAACAGCAGTGGAACTTAGTTACAGGCTCCAGGTCTGGGGCAAGAATGGAGATAGTCACTGGCTGTGGCCAAGCGAGAGAAGACAAGAGCCTGAGCTCACCTGGAAAGAACCAGGACCGGGTGATATAACAGTGACAACAGCACAATGACAACATTAGTGGGGCTTCATGGAGAACTTGCTATTTGCCAGGCACAGTCCCAAGAACTCTCTCTATATTATCTCATGTAATTGACACAATAGCCCTAAGAGATCGGTTCTGAGGTCGGTACATTTATTTTTCTGTTTTATAAAGATAAGTTTTGAGAGGCTCTTAAAAGAAGTTGAGTAACATGCTTCTCGTTATTCAGCCAATAGTTGTCAGAGGTAAGATATGAACCCTGAGAGTTTGTTCATTTATTTAACACGTGCTGTTTGAATGTCTGTTATGTCAGGCACCCTTCTAAGGGCCGATGAGACCTAAGTGAACGAGGCAAAATTTCTGCTTGTATGGAGTTTGGCTAATAGTGGGATGAGCCCAGTAATAACAAGCCAACGAATCAATAAATAATTTCAGATGGTAATAATAAGTGGCTGTGAAGGAGAGTGAGTGGGGTTGGGGGAAGGCTGCTTTACACAGGATTGGCAGGGGTGGCCCATGGGAGGTGACATTTGAGCTGAGCCCTGCATGACAGAGCAAGTCAGCCATGCAAAGAAAGCTCTATGGGAGGAGAGTTCTTACATGGAGGGTCCACAGGAGCCAAGGCCAGGGGCTCAGAAGAACTTGGCTTGTTCTAGGAAGAGAGAGAAGGCCAGTATGGCTGGATGATACATGAAAAGGGGGGCAGTGCCTGCAGTGGAGTGAGGAGGAGGGCAGGGACCAGAGGACACAGGGCCTTGGAGGCCACAGTATAATGTTTGTATTTTATTCCAAGTGCAGATGGGAGACATTGGAGGATTTTAAGCAAGGGAGCATTGTGATCTCCCGTCTCTGTGGATGGCTTTCTTCACCTCTGTGTGCAGTTGCCAACAAGAAGCAACCAGAAAGGGATAAGGTGTTTATGTGCAGGGAAGCCTAAATGAAAGTTTATAAGTTAGGAGCCAGCATTTCAGATGAATCAAAATTTTAGGTTTTTCACAGAGCAAGACTGAAATGAACAGGGAGAGAGCATCTAATCCAAACTTCTGACTTTAGGTAAGAAGACCTTAGGAAATCCAAGTTGAGCATCTGAGCTATGTTTGAAAACCTGTATTAAGGAGACTATTTATTTGGGGGGGAACTTCCCTGACTATGTAGAAAGCTGCACTCTAGGTTCTGAATATTCTTGACAACTTCTTGGTCTGGGGATTGTACTTACCTTATAGAGTAAATCTCATCCAAAATAACAAGACAGCTTTGGGTAGATGACATCTCAGGGATTCATACTTCCATGCAGTCTGGTGTGTGTGTGTGTGTGTGTGTGTGTGTGTGTGTGTGTGTGTGTGTG